GGAATGGGGGGGGTGGGTCCAAGGGACTTTTGCTTCTTGGGGACAGAGTTTCCCTTCTCTAAATTTCTTATTGAATGAAAATACTGTTTTCAAATTAACGTTCTCAATATTACAAATAACACTAAAATATTGGGACAGAGGATTCTTAACTGGTTTAGCTTTAAACCAAGAGTCTTTTGGGTTTTTTTTTAGCTTCAATAAGCCTTTTCTAAATCCTTTTTTCCTCAGATTCCTAATTCTGTCATCGTGGGACCTCAAATACTGCAATTATTTTGTGTGTGTGTGTGTGTGTGTGTCCCGGGATTTCGGAAGAGGTTTATATATTGCTCTTGAAAGTGAGTACAGGGGCGGGCTGAGGTTTGTGATTGAGTCTGAAGCTCTGCAGGCCGGGCCGCGCGTTCCCAGCCCCAGGAAGGCTTTAACCGCAAGATTTCACCGCGCCGCTCGGCTGCGACAGCCCGAACGCGCCCAGTCGGCGTCGTCGCAGCCATTGCTGCTGTCGGAGTGCCGAGGAGATCGCCCACCCAGCTTCTCTCTTTCTCCCAGGGACACGATGTCGTCTTCTGGGAATGCCAGCCCGCCCCAGACACTGACCAAACCAGCGCTGGGCGAAAAGGAAGCGACCGAGTTGGTGGGCAGGGTGTTTGGGTTAGCGGTGTCTTGGATCGGGCCGCTCCCCAGCTATGACGACCAGAACTTCCAGGTGCGCGTCTCGAGGGGCGGCGGCGCGGCCGGAGGTGCTGACGAGTACGTCCTTAAAATCACCAATGCGGAAGACAGCCGGCAGCCTGACCTCATTGAAGCGCAGACCCGGGCCATGATGCTGCTCAGCGCGGAAGGCTTTCCTTCGCCTACTCCTCGCCTCACCAAAGATGGCCGCATAATGTGTCTGCAGTCGGGGGGTGAGCAGTTACAACCCCTTGACTGCCCTGCTACCACCCGTAGCTGGGCAGCAGCGTGCTGTACGGCGTGCCATGTACATACTAAAGGAAACTCTGGGCTTATTTTTAAGTATTAGGGCATGTGTATCAGGCGAGCTGTGCGTCCAGCCACAGTAGTCCAAACTTAAAATACCAGAAGCAAAGCAAGTCAGAGAGAGTAATGATTAACTATGAAAGTGCTTAGGAGAAAACTTCAGTGTAAGGAATTGGGGAAAACACTGATCTGACCTGCCCGCGTGCAGGAAAAGGGGAAAAAAGGCTCCTTGACTAAACGATGCTACAAATCATTTGCCCACAGAAGGGTGTGAAACAGAGTCCTAGCTCAGCTGCGATGCCAGAATGAGTTTCTGTAACAGTGCTTGGCGGAGAGGTTGTGTGGATGTTTTGCTTTCGTTTTCCCTGTGTATTCCCCACTAAAGCTGGGGCTCCCAGCCCTCCCATTCTGCGGCAGTGGGTGTGCGTGGGTGTCTGTGGGCGCTGGGGGAAACCCGCTGCGTGCACAGCCAGTGCCCGCACCACGGATAAAGTCCAGTGCAGACTGCAAGCGCGCCAAGGTTTGCATCATACAGCATCCTGATAAATCACATCTTTGAATGAAATTTCTTTTATCAGCTACATCTGATGACTTCTGCACTGGGATAGACCTTTTTACTGCTTGCACTAACTTAATAATAGCACACGCTGAAGTGACTGACTGCCTCTCTCTCTGCTGCTTAGGTACTGGGCCTGGGCACAACAAGTACATGGTCAGACTGCTGACCTACCTGCCAGGGACGCCGGTAGCAAAAATTGCTGCCAACACGGAGCTTTTCTATGAGATCGGTAAGCTGGCTGCCAGGTTGGATAAAGCGCTCTCAGAGGTGAGTTTCTGTTGTTCTGCCCTCACAAAATTCTTCCTGAAATGAATTGAAATGAAATTATTTCTCCTGAAATGAGTTGTTTCTCCTCTGCATTTCTTCTGGAGCTTGCTGTCTGCTTTCCTGACCTGCAGGATTCCAGCTGGTGACAGCCAATGCTGGTTTAACTTATCCCTCAGGCGCCAGCCTCCAGGCTGGCTGCCCCTAAAGCATTTCCCCAAGTGACGTGAGCAGCTGGTGCTTGTGACGTGGTGTTGGGGCTCCTTTTGCGATGCGTTTCTGTACCGTGAGCAGGGAGACAGGGATTCCTCTTTACACACAGAACTCACCTGTTCGGTGTTTCGGACCTGGCAAATAAGGCGAGTGAACCCTAGGCTGCCCAAATTAGAAGCATGTAAAGCTTGTTTTAAAGCATTTTTGAATAACGCACATCAGGCACAGCTGGCTGATCTGTTGTTTTGAGTTCATTTTGACTTGCTCCCTGTCCCCATGTCATTAGAACTGTGGCCATTTAACACCGGCAGCAGCTGGTTCCTTCTCTGCAATGCCAGCTGTGCCAAGGAACAGAGATTTGAGACACTTCTCTCATTTGCACCGCTTCCAGTCAAATAATCTTACTGCAGAGTAAGTTCTTTCTTTACTCTATAATTATACAGGATAATAAAGCTGATAAATCAGCCAGTAATTAAGTTTGACACATAAGAGAACTCTTGCGTTATTTATTGCCTTTCATTAACTTTCCTTCTCATGTTCTGGCTACTGGCTTCAGACAATTATGAAATGTGGATCGCCAGCTTTACTAACCACATTCCTAAATTACAGGAGCATTTTTCAGTTGGGAAAGATGATTTACTGTTGCCTTCTAGCACTCTAGTCATGCTCTTAAAAGGCGATTAGAACAACTTATATAGACCAGCTAGTCTCAAAATGTGCCTGTGACTTGTCCTGCCAGGGAGGAAATAGTTGATGAGAAAGCAAATGTTGTTGGAAAAGGCTCTTTATGCCCTTAACATATGGATTATCATCTACCAAGGTTTGTCATTTAAAAGAAAGAAAATTACCATCATTACTGTCACAACTTCAAAATATCATAAATGCTAAAAATAATACCTAAGGTATCACGTTTTCTGATGACAGATCAGAAAATACAGCCTGTCTTTCCTAGGCAGTCGCTTGGCTTTGTCCACTGGACAGCAAAGCAGTGTGCCGTGCTTTGTTTTGTGCACGGAACAGTATTCCACCACTTTCTCTGAGGGTGTTTCCTTCTGCCTGGATGCGCCTCACGTCCTCTAAATGGAAATAAGTGAAGTTTATGGCTGTGAAACGACTGTCTATGGCCTTACAGTAACAAGGGCTCGTGGCCTTTCATCACCCTCCACACACCTGGTATCCCGCTTACAGCTTGCTGGAATGTCTGACTTATGCTGGGAAGATCGCGGTGCTTGCTTGCCAGACGACGTTCTTCCTCCCAGTGCGGTGCTTTATACAGCGTTTGGGAGCCCGTGTTGTCATTTTTGGTTTAGGCTTGATCTTGTTCCTTCCTTTTTCATATACAGCTCCAGTTTTGACTGTCATTTAGCTATCTTTAACAGCCTCAGTTACAAGCACTGGTGTCTTTTTAAGAGGAAGCCAGCTGCTCTTGGGGGAAGGGTTCTGTATTTGCCCTGTGCTCTGGCAGACTCTGGCCCACAAGCCACCTTAATAAGCATTAGAGGATTCAAGGGTACGAGCGTGGGACTCTGGCCTTGGCAAGGCCTCAAAGTCACTACATAATGTCATGGTACAGAAAGTCAGTATGAATTCTGAATTATTGAAGTGATGAAGGACTTCAGATAATCTTTGTACCTAAAGAATGGCGAAAAAAACATCCTGGTTGTATGTGGGTATTAAGATGCTTGTCTTAATCATTCTGCAGGTTATTCTTTTACTTGTTGATAGAAAGAAATAGTCAAAGTCACGGTGCTTTTCAGTGAGTCTCATTATAAACCTGTTAAAGTTAATAGGGCCTTTGAATCAAGCCCTTTAATCGTAAAACCAGGTTTTTTATTTATGGACTATTTATCTTGTGCTTTTTTCAAAGAAATTCCATCATCCATCGGTAAAAAGCCTGCATCGAGGTCAGTTCATCTGGAACCTGGCGAACGTTCCCCTTCTGGACCAGTACATTTATGCCTTGGGCCAGAGCCAGTATCGTGGGCTTGTGCAGCACGTTATTGAGCAGTTTAAAGGGAAAGTAACACCCAAGCTAAGCCATTTTCGACCCTGTGAGTATTTTATTCTCCTTGTGGTTATGTTCGACTGAGACACTGCAATTTCTTACAGGAGTTTGGGTCTGTGGAGCAGTCAAAAAAGGCAAAAGTCTCCTTGTTGCAGATACTGTGGTGAATGAACACAGCGCAGAATAAGCCAGGAGGAAAGTGCTGTCCAGAGTCAGGTTCAGTTTTCTGTCTTTCTGATGAGCTTGCTTCCAGTTAAGGTGATGATTTGCATGCTGTTATATCAGCTTAATAAGAATATATGGAGTAAACTGCTTCCTTTCACAAAGGCCCAAATAACTATTTAATGGTATTTTTAGGATTTGGCTCATATTGTTGTTGATGGCAGTTTGACAATTTGAAAACTGCTGTTGCGTGTTTGGAAGAGATGTCGCGTAGGGCAGGGAGCAGCAGCCCACGGCAAGCTCTCGAAGCGCTCCCTGGGTCAGTTGCTGTCTGGTCACCTGCCAGTGGCATGGAGGGTCCCGGGAGGCCGTAAGCACTTGATGTGGAGGGAGACTGGTGTGGTTTTGTTGCCGGGAGTTAGTTTGAGCCTCTATGCACCTTTTCAAGGCTGTTTCACTGGGAAATTAAAAAAAAAAATAGGTTCTGCTGTTTAAATACTGTTTCTGTTTCTTCTGTGTGTAGGTATCAATCATGGAGATCTTAATGACCACAACATTCTAGTAGACTCCTGTTCTGCTTCCCCGGAGCAGCCGCAGTACAGAGTGTCCGGCATCCTGGATTTCAGCGACATGAGTTACGGATATTACGTGTTTGAGGTCGCAATAGCCATGATGTACATGATGGTGGAGAGCCCAGACCCTCTGAGCGTGGGAGGGCACGTTCTGGCGGGCTTCGAAAGCGTCCTGCCGCTCACCCTGGAGGAGCGAGGTGCCCTCTTCCTCTTGGTCAGCGGGCGGTTTGCCCAGTCCCTGGTCATCGCAGCCCACACGGCCCTGCACTACCCGGAGAACAGGGACTACCTCATGATCACCGCCAAGACCGGGTGGAAACACCTGACGGCCATGTTCGAGGCGGGCCAAGAAGCTGTGGAGCAGACCTGGT